TATTATTATTATTATTATTATTATTATTTTCTCTGCTGTCCTAATTTTTCCTGATTCCCACCCCCTCCCAACCAAAAACCCCATCTATTCACAGGTTCACAGGAAGAAGTCCAGGCATTCCCTTCCTTCTTACATGGAAAACGGTGATCCTTCTGTTAAGTAAAGCCCACAGAATATTTCTCCCCCACCTGACTCCTGCCCAGTAGCCCGTACAAAACACCACTCAGGATATTAGCTATGTCGTTCTTGAAGGGTTTGCTCTTTAAGCTGTTATAGAAAAGGGGGCTTACTGCTTTGAGAGATTTATTAGGAAAGGGCCTAAGAGATGCATTTGGAACATATACTGCAGTAGCATGCACAATTACTTGGGATAAAGTCCTATTAAACTTGAGGGGGTGAGTGTGTCCTTGTGAGTAAATATTAATGGCATCAGATTACAGACAGAACCAAAGGAAGGGCAATCAGCTCATCTTGGGAGCTATAAAGCCAAGGTTGAAGATACCTTTCTGCAAAGGACTCCCTGTATATCTTTTGATCTGCAATAATGTGAAATTTATAGCACAATTCTATGCATACCTACTCAGGAGTAAATTAGAATGAGTTCAGTGGGACTTTCTCCTAGGAATATAGGTATAGCAGCCTTTCCCAACTTAGCTATTTTCCACTAGAGCTGCAAAAACTGGATGATTGGCGCCACTTTGAAGAGTCACTTTATGTGAGATGGGCGGCTAATACAAATACAACAAATAAATAAACAAACAAATAAATAAAAACGATCATTAGATGGCATAAAGGGACATATAAATCTCTGCTCTGCCCCTAGGTAGTTGTCTAGAGTTTTGCAGCTGAGAAATGGTAGCCTTCTCTGATGACCAGTAATGAGAATTCTGGCAACTGAAATCCAAACATCTAGAGGGTGGCCAGGTTGGGGATGGCTAGTGCCTGACAGTACAATCCTGGGCCTCTTTACTCAAAAGTGAGCCATTAATGGACTTACACGTATGCAAAGTTAGGATTTCAGTTAATGGATTTATGTCTCATAGAATCCAGTGCAGTTTAGTTCAAATTAGACAGATATAGTATTCCACTGGCAGTATTCTATCGCACAAGCTGATTGCAAAACCAAGCCCCACAGAAGTTTGCAAAGCATTTTGCAGATTTACCAGATTAACAGAAAGAATGTAAGATTTATTGTGATTATTATTTTTGTTCAGAGTCTTTTTACAGTTCATGTTTTCATCTCACTTTTCCTCCATCCAGCAAATACTTTTTAGCACAATCCCTTTCATATTTACTGTACTGAGAAACAAATTCTGCCAAGTGGCAAAAAGCTCATGAAGCAGAGGGGATTAAAAAGTGGTGCTTTCTCTACCACAAGTGAGTGGTACAAAGATCTGGACAACCGCTAGTTGGAAGCAGTGGGTGTTTTCTGTATCTCTTTGCTGCCATCTAGTAGCAGATCTGGTACAGGAGTTGTACTGGAGAATGCCTACCTTGAGGAAAACTGCTATTTGTGATTGGGAGCAAGTCCCATTGAATTCAGTGGTAACTTCTCAGTGGATGTGCATAGAACTGTACTAAAACTCATAACTCTCTCCTGCCATCTGGAAGTTGTCTGGATTTTTGCAACCCAAATATGGTAGCCCTATTAAATGGATTAAAGGTTGCTCCATTAGACAACAGGCCTTTTCTTATGTGTGGTTTAATGCATCACCAACAGGCTGCAGTACTGGTAAAAGGGAATGCAGGGACAAATTGGGTGGTTCAGATCAGGGGGTTCAAAAATTTTCAGGCTGTGGAACTTGTGAATTAAAAAAAAAAAAATCCCAGAACCCCTGACCAAGAGGCAAAGCTCTAGTGACAGAAAATTGGTTGCATTTACAGGACCTCCCCCCTTTAGTTCTTATGGAACCCCATCAAGTTCTCCCAGAACCCACCTTCTGAAAAACCCTGGTCTGGATTACCACCGCCACCCTGTATTCAGAGGGACTTGTCATGGATTGAATGCCAATATTTTCAGATCAGGGTCTCCTCAGTGACATAAGGGAAGGACGGCTACACCTCTGGTCACATTCGTAAGTGGCTATCTGGTCGCTGTGAAAGGACCCTTCACTCTTTTCGGGAGCATGAAGGATCTGCGCTAAGGCTGCTTCACTTCTGAGCCAGAGACTCGCCCAGCGCCCTGGGGTGAGAGGGAATACTGCTTGCCAAGGCTCTCTGGCGGCCGCGTAAACACTTAGTGAGGAAAGGGCCAGTAGTTTGTGGAAAAGAAAACGCGAAGCCCCGAAAGGAATACGAACGATTGCAAACAGCACTAACGGGTGAGAAATCTTACACGCGTAGGTGGAACAGACGACCTTCCCAGAATCGCAACCACTGGTTCAGGGCAGCGTTTCCGTTTGCACGATCGGAGGGGAAAACTGCGGGAAGAGCATTATTCGAAGGTGTGTGGCGATCCTCCATTCTTCCCGGCTCGGCCGCTTTCTCCTGCGATTTTATTTTCCGCAGGCAAGAGCTAAACCCTCTTCCCCCAGCCAGTTAAGCAGCAGCAGTACTGTAGCGCACTTTGTTACTTCAGGACTTCCTGGTAACTTCCTGGCTGCTTTAGGCAAAGCAGCGTGCGGTGTGTGCGTGTGTGTGTGTGTGTTGTGTGGAGGGGGGGGGGCATAGAGGGATATACCAAGTGTGGCACTGCTACGGGAGGCGCTAAGTCCTTCCCAGCCATGCCCGGTTGCTTGAGAGAGGCACCTTTCCTCTTCCTGCAAGCCGTGGGACGCCTGCCCGTGCAGAAGACCCAAGGCGGCCAGGTGAGAAACGGGGAAGCAAGGGAGGAGCGGCTGTGCAGAAGTTTGGAGTCTCTTCTCTGAACGGCCACCCCTTCCCTGGCGGGCTTGGTCCAGCCTCCGATCCATTCTGCGCTGGCAGCGGGTTGAGCGCGGCTTCTTTCTGCTGCGACCGTAAACCTGCGCGGAGGTTGTTCCGCTAGGAGCGCTTCCTGAGGGCCCGGGGCGGTGCGCGCGCGCTGATGGGGCACTGAGCGCGGCCCGTCATAGGCACCCGAGGAGCTTGCGCTGCTCGGCTGAAAACTTCTCT